ATGTCGTATGTTTTATACACTGTCCTGATAAAAAAACCTTTCTTGTCAGATTGTAGGAAATTTTAACCAAATGTTGTCTTTAATATACAGTAAAAGATGCCTCACTTTTCATTGAAAACAAAGTAACTACGAATTTAATTATGTATTTAAATGGTTTTAGCATTCGTTTGATCATTTTAATTTTATCTTATAATTCTTAGTAGTTTTGAAATTGAAATTTTTCCGTTCATGACTCAATAAATAAATAATATTATGAAACTTAATACTTCAGTCGCGTTTCAAGAAAATTATTTCGTTGGATGAGTAATGCACTAATGATGTTATGAGTGCACAAATGTACGTCAAAGGGTGGTCTGACAACCCTTAAGAGTTGTTTTACACTAAAAGGGTACTAAAGACTCCTTAAATTGTACAAAGTAACTTTGTGGAAAACACGATCACCAGATATTCGCATATTGTCTTTCTCTCAGTCTACGCCAGGGCGACACTCATTTACCGGAAGTAACAACATCAATCGAGTTCCACCGGAAGTACACTATCCACCGGAAGTACGCTATCAGACTTGTCTTAACGTTTTCTGTGCTTAAGTGAAGCTCCGAAAAGCTATATTTTTCCAAGAAATAAGTATAGAGTTCTTTTTGCATTTTGACTGATTGATTGTATACAAATTAATGTAAATAATTACAGTTTAATACACGAAAGGCTAATTTTTCAGCCTGGGTAATCAATATTAGAAAATATTTATAAATTTAAATACTGTAATAATATTTTGTATTATGTACATGTTGAATACCTTGAATAACTGAATACCTTGAATACCTTGAATAACTTACAACTAGTTTACTATGATAAAAATATTAGTTTTTTAAATTTCAAGATATTTTGTAATTTGGTGTATTCATCGATGTTGTTTAGGGAAAAAATCTTGAAAACACCCCGTGACATAACTAAGATTTGATTAAATGGGCACTGAAATAAAACAAAATGTAATACATCTATATTTGCCCTAAATGATGCATATAAAATACATGGTACTATTTATCCTTCTCTATACAATAAACAAAATCAACCCATACTTATAATACAATTAAACATGAAAGTATTTTTCTTTTAAGATAAAAGAAACTAATACAACACTGAAAGAAAGGAATGTAGAGTATAAACTATTGGTGATGGTTTTAATATATGCCTTCAGGCCAACAGTTTCATACTTCAACCAGAAGACCAATTGTACAGTTCTACAGAAAAAAAAAAACATGGAAATATAGACAAATAGCAACGTGGCAAATTTTTGATGTATTCACAAAGATAACCTCTGTTTGATTTTTATCCAACTGAGTTTTACAAATGCGACAGAAGAGTTAATTATAAAACTTTACTTATTTCCTGTGCCAAGTAAATTAGCCTTCCTGTTCTTTGCTAAGTTCTTTCCAACGTAAATTTAAAAATTTCGCATTATGTTGACCAGAATGAGATGCTATAATGATATTATGATTTAGTACAAAAGTGTATTTTGGTTTTTATGTAGTGTTTTTTAATGCGTTGTTGATGAAAACATGTTAAAGTAGAGATATGAAAATTGTTATGTATACTGAAAATGATACGTTTTAACTACTGGAATTGTACTTAAATACGAGTAAATACCCCCACCGCAGAAAGCCTGCAAACTAAAAAAAATATATATTAAATATTAAAATTACAGTTTTTTGGGAAAGATAAAGCGCACAATAACGATTCTATTTGTCTTTAACCCATATAACATGATTTTAAGTGGCAAACATTTATGATTTGAGAGCCGAAAAAGGGAAAACAAATGTTTAGCCTATAAAATCCCCCTTAAAACTCCATTCCCATAATTTGACCATGCAGGTTTAACAATGCTTAGTAAACTTAAAGCCAAAATTAACAAATATTTCAAGGGTAAAAATATTTAGTGTTGGAGCTTCAAAGGTAAATTATATGGGGTGTACAGGTACTTAGAGGGGCAATAAGGTGAAATGACATACCGGTACATAGGAAAAAGCCTTTTTTCGATGTTAGAATTTTTTTTTACCAGCTTCTAGCCAAATACGCTTACGAGTAAACATTAAGTAGACTTTGTATCTTTGCTAAACCAAATCTATCTCTTTAATGCAAGTTTTGCCTTTTTGTGTGGATTATAGAAGGGGTTAACCAGGCAATGTTACAATGTGTAAAGGCAATAGTTTAGTATAAAGTTGTTCTTCATCTGAGTTTAGTTAACGACCTCACCATTGTGGTCAATTAAAAAAAAAAACTAAGATCTGATCATCGTTAGCAACTTTATAAACTTTTCTTCCAGAATTGTTTTGTAATTGGAAATGCAAAAACCTAAACGTGGTTCTTGCACTAAACAAAGAAAAAAACCATGTTATGTAACGGCCAATTCGCGCTAACCCTTTTTTATTTAACTGTTCCTCTTCACACAAGTCTCTGTCCATAAAAACTTCTCTGTGACATAACGAAACGTAACGAATATTGAATTTGTCAGTCTCGTTTCCTCTTTTACATATAAATTAAAAATATCTTTTACATTTCAATAAGTGACCTATACAAATTAAAACCTACAACTGAAAACTATAAAACTTCTTGATCAGTTTAAAACTAATTTTCTCTAAACAATCTACTAAAATATTTACCTTTTAGCGATTTCCGTTGGTAAAAGAAAGTCTACAAGTACAACCTAGCTACCAATAAAATTGCTATAAATAAATCCAAAAACTAGATATAAAAGGTGGGAAAATTAACTTGAAATTTTTAAATACAACACAGTACATCTTTATTGTCTAGGGACGCGTAGTGGAACATTTTTATATTTTTAACTTAATATGCAAGTGTAATAAACCATTTTACATTTGAAGCAATATCAGCAAAATTGGTTTATAGGTCATATACAATTTTATCGTCAAATCAACATTTTCATGGTTTGTTACTTTTCTTGTATTTTACTTTTAAACTAAGAACATTGTAGGATTATTTTGTTTACGTTGTATCAAACCCCATTCTTTAAAATATTAAATTAATAATATATAGTAATAATAGACAATAATATTTTAATAAATAATAATATTTAAATAATTTTAAAATATTAAAAATATTTTGTTAAAAATTGTATTTTTAATATTTGAAAATCGTTTAATATACAGTAGATACAATATATTTTCAGCTGTGAACACCAAAAAAGGGGTTACGTTGGGGATTCCAACAGAGTATTGGAGTTGGCGAGGTAAGCAACCAATTTACAAAACGAACACCTTTTGCCTCTAGAGAGTTACCCAGGGATATCCTTAAGCATGTGAAACAAACAAGTAATACCATAGGGATGTGAATAAAAGTTGGTCACAGAATTTGAGCATTGTTTTGTTTAGAAGGTATCCCACTAAAAGATTTGTATTTATGAATACGTTGCAATAGACAGTTTTTCTAACGAAGCTTATGTTAATCTAAATTTCAAAGAAAGGTTTAACAAATATTACAAATTTTATTCAATATAATTATTTTTTTTTTAATTTAAGTACATATATTTCCGGTATATATATTATATAGCCTATTTATTTACATTAGTGACATTACAATTGTAAGCTAAATACGTTGTATAACACTTAAAACAAAATATATTTACGCTTAGACTGATAAAAAGTAACCTGAGAAAACAAATGAAGAATGTACCGATTAAACCTTAAATTCCTAACCTTCTCATACTTACATTATTTCTTAATTGTATGTAATTAAGCTCAGAAAAGATTTATAATTAGAATGTATAATAATTTAAAGAAAGGTTATGAATTTGTTGTACGTGTAAAGAACATGTACGACATGAACAAGTATTAGGTTAGTCTCATTTCATATATTAAATCTGTACAACAACATAACTGTTGTCTGTTTTATTATACTATTTTATTTACTTTCCGTAAATTATATAGTACGTTTAATGATGAACAAAAAGTTTATTTTAGTACATTTCTATAATTAGTTGTTTATTGAGGCACATGGTTCCTAACTAAAAAAATCTGTTCAAAATACCCCTAAATAAAACTACTCAAGCAAAAAAATCTTATTCAAATGCTATAATATAATACCTCGCTGGCTAGGAATAATGCAACATTCTGCTCATCATTGTAAGTTTTTACTGTCCATCGATTGTAAACTATTTTGAATTCAAACTCTTCCCACATTAGACTGCATTGTTATGTTCTGCGTTAATACAATAGAACACTGTTCCTATTAAAAGTTACACAATTAGGGAGTTTTAACTAACTTTCTTTTATTTTACCACAGGGATTCCTTACTTGTGTGGTAACCGCATTGCAACAGAAACTTTAAACTAAAAAATGTAAAACTAAAGTTGATTAGACTTTTTATAGCAACAATTTTATTTATAAATTTGGGATTGATTTGCAGTATTTAAATACATTAAGCGTATTGAATGTCAATAAAATGTACACCTTCAATAAGTACAAATGAGATATCGTCAAGTTTTGCAAATGGAGTAAATTATTCTTAGGATGATTCACTTTACACAGCTTTATGTAATATGTACCGAAGTATGTGTTTGAAAACGTTTACAAAATTATTTTTTTATGTTATTCATTAATGTACAAAAATGTTATTTACAAAATGCTTACATTATTTTTGTTGTATTTCAATCAGCCATCTGCCAAATTTATCTTTTTCAAAGTTTACACTGATAAAATAAATAAAATAAAATTGAAGCATTAAGAATGTTTATCTCACTATGATCTGCGATTATTAACTTTCAAAATGCAGTTAGAACAGGGTTCTAATTAAGATTACTATAACGGCTACACTCCTATCCAAATCTTGCATAAGACGTCCCTTTGATTGCAACTGAATCAGTCCTACAAACTTAACATGATAAAACAGACAAACACTACCTAATTTTCATAATATGATAAATATAAAGTGAAATAACCGGCTCAAATTACTTATGACAAACACTACTACTTATGACAGTTCATTACCTCCTTGGGGTGTGGGCGCAGGTCCGGGGGAGGTTTTATGCCCACTACATACTCAGGGGGAGGGGGTTGGTCCTCCCTACTCTCCTGCATGGTCAACAACCTTCTATTCTCCAGTTTCCACGAGATGGCTGTGTAGCTCTCGAAAAACGACCCGTCCGTCTCCTGGACCCTGGAAAGAGTATTGGGTTTAGTTGATAGAAATGCAGAACCTCGATAAGAAGTATCGTAGGGAATGATCAAAATATGACGTATAATCAAGTTCAACGACCGCAAGCCGTCTCTTGAACTCTGAAAAGTGTATTAGTATCGTTTGTATAAATATAATAGAGCCTTGATAACAAGTCTCATGGGGATGATAAGAAAAGAGTTGTTATCAAGGTTCCTGATCGTCTCTTGTACCTTGGAAAGTGTATTAGGTTTAGTTTATAAAAATATAGTAGAACCTCGATAGCAAATCTCTTGGAATTATCAAATAAGTTATCAAGGTTAACGATTTGAAAAGTATATTAAATTTAGTTTACCTTGATAACAAGTCACTTATGGAACTATCGAATTAGACCTGTTATCAAGGTTGACCCGTCGTCTCTTGGACCCTGAAAAGTATATAAAGTTATATTGGGTTTATTTTTTATTTTATTTATTTATTTATTTTTTTTTTTATATAAAGTTATATTGGGTTTATTTGATATAAATATAGAAGAACCTCGATAACAAGTCTCATATGAATTATCAAATAAGTTATGTTATCAAGGGCAACGTCTTATCGAGGGTTTCAATAACTCTAATTATAAGGAAAAATTCAACAAATTATAGTAAAACATTTTTGTCAAAATGTCATTTGAAAAGTATTTGATACAACTACCTGTTGATGTCCAAAAACAAAAAAAATCAAAATTTTGAGATTATAACAGTTTTTTATGTTTAAAATGTCTTTATTTGGACAGCCTGAAGGGTATATAAGGTGAGAGTAATATATCAGGATTATTTTACCTAACGATGTAGTTAAGCGAGCATCAGTCATCCTTATACCTCCAGGGTTTATCTTTGTACTTAAACTAAAACATTTCTCTAACGTTTGTTACGTTTGTTTTCTCAATAATTGGGAAAAACCGATATTATATAAACACTTTGGAACAAGGTAGAGAATTGTTTTAAACTGTTTGTTCAAAATTGATTAAGCTTGTGATTATTAGTAATTTGTTATTTTAAGTTTAAATACCATACAAAAAGCGATTACAACAAAAATATATAATACATGTTGAAATTCGATTCCACAAGTATAAGGTTGATATTCTAAATTAGGTATTTCTAAATTAATGCAGGGAAAATTGTTGAAAGTTTCGAAAACCAGGTAAAATTTATGATATAAATTAATAGTTTGTGCTGTTTATTGTGTATGAACAGTATTTAAAGTTTGATTCCAACTCAATCCTATTGCTTGTATCAACTATTTTAAATCTAGCAACAAAAAATTTGAACATATTTAAAAAACAAAAGGGATGCTCATTTCCATCTTCAATCCCTATTAAAAAGGACCACACAATCAACAGTTTGCTGGAACGTTTGTCTCTTAACGACGCCATTTTTGAAATTCCTAAATGTTGTTTTCCGAGGGTCCTCCATGAGCTCTGAGCCCTAATTGCTAGTTAAGCCAGTACGGTCAACACAATGGCGATTATGTCCTCGGCTTACGTTGTGAATTAGTTTTACGAGAAACCTAAACATTCTACAGTCTCAAACCATACAAGTATGAGGAATTATTTGGAAAAATGTATGAGTAAATATGAATATTTATTTACAGTAAAAGTTTAGATACCAACAATTGCGATAAGTTACCTGTAAATACTGTAGGGAGTGAATTTCCTCCCTGATTAGATATTCACTAAACTATTTCCTTAAAAGTGTCAGGATATTTCCCTTGACTTTAGTAAGTTGTAAGGTTCGCTGCTAAAGGGAAGGTAATAAAGTGCGTGTTTTTTTTTAGATTGCTTTTTAAATTTTGTTAATTAGTTAGTATTAAAATTTTAAATTTAACAAATTTTATTTAAAATATACAACCAAACGACAAACAATAACAGAGTATTTATTCTTCATAAAAATAAAACGGGGATTTCAAATTCACAGAATCTTGGAATTTTGTATGTAGAAATAATTCGTACAAAAACGCTTCTAAATACTAAATTACTTGGTTTTAGGCTCTGTAAAATATTTTAAAAAAGGAATTGCAAAATATTATATTTTGGGGGTCGAAAATGGGAAAAACTACTTTTTTACCCTTTAAACCCCCGTTTCCATAAGCCAATCATACTAGTTCGCGAACGCAAACATTAACTAAAACTTTTAAACTGGCATTCTAGTGGTCAGAAACCCATATACACACTTCAGACTGAGCGAATGCCCATTGATTAGTAAGAGTATAAATTAAACGTATTGTAATCAAATATCCATTAAATTCAACGTTCGTTATAAATAACACTATCCGAAAGGTTAACCATGTGTGTGGACACTCGAAGCACATGAATATTGGTGTTATTATCTTAAATGTAAACAATCAAATTAATGTTTCAATAATTAATAATGTTAATTCACGATGAAATTATGATCTTTTATTTAATGAATATATACTCATAAAAACAAACTATTGCAATAATTAATATATTCAAGTACTGAGAAACAAAAGGAGTGGAACAAAAATGTTTAAAACAAGTAGGGAAATTCATTTAAAATCCCTAAATAATTACTATCACCCAAATTATATATCTGTATAGGGTATTCTTGAAATAAAAATTAATGGATGTCTACAGTTTCATTTATATCTGAAGCCCTCATACAGTTAATGTATTCTTTATTGCAGTCTAAATTTAATTAAATGAATAATACTAAATAAAATTGTTCAGGAAGTAAATAAATGCAAGCAAAGACTCTAAATATTTTTGATCCTAAATGATGTACAAATTAATGTGTTAAACTACTCAAAAAATTCATATTCTACTACGTTTTATTAATCCGATTTTAACTATGTAAACCTTTGGTTTCATTATATTGCGAGTAGGAGCTACACACAAAGACAGTGATCACTATTCCATTCACATCGTGGTAGACCTTGTGTCAGAGTGACCAATGATTCTGTGTGACGTAGCCTTTGTGATGACGTCATACATGACACAACGTTTACACAGCTGTTTAACCTTTAAAATCCCTAACGAAAACATTGCGTCATGTAGTCTTTTACATGCTCGTTACAATCTGTGATACAAGATCTTACAAACGAATTTTATTTCATTTGATTATCAAAGAATTATTTTATTCATCTTCAAATCGTTAGAGAATCATTCTGTTCATCATTTTGTTAATTTAAGATAGATTACCTTTTATTTTATTGTGGTTGTGACATATAATGTATTCAACAACAGCCATGATTCTAAATTTATATAAAACCTAAAAGAGATTCCCTAAATATTTGCTCTCGTTTGTACTTTGTAATTTTTAAGGATTTTATAATGTTTTAAAAACGTTAGAAACAAGATAATTTCCCCACCTTCATGTGGAACATGTGGTTAGAATGTAAGGTAAGGTAAGGTGGTTAATGTATTCTATGTTACTTTACATAGTCAATACTTTTCGTTTTATAATCAGCGGCAATTAATTGTAACTCTATTATTGCTTGTTATGATTTACAAACGTGTTCATTAAATCGGATCAAAAGAATATTGGATTGGGATTCGTTTGAAAAGGTTAAATAATGTTTGGACCTGTAATTACTTTGTCCTGACGGTAACGAAACTCATCCCAGGTTAAATCAGTCCAATATAAATTACCTTTTTATCGTTTTAACTTTGATAAGCTCTGCGTAGTAGTTCCTACTTTCTTTTACAGTTTGGAGGTTTATTGAAAAAAAAATGAAATAAAAAAAACCAAAACCAGCCACTCAGATAAATTTAAACACCGGCTCAGTAATGTGATTCCCGACACCACTGGTTAGTCAAAGAAAGCTATACATGATACCTGTGTTTAGTATTAAAAAGGGGGGAAAACTTGTCTAAGGTAGAGCACGCAATTTTGGTTCCTGAGGTTTAGGTTCAAATCTCACAAAATCACCAATAGATTTTATCGAAGTGGTAATTCCTTAAACTTAAAGTCGGGCTTAAAGTTATATGAAACAATTGTTCCATGCCAGAGTCCTAGGACGAAAAACCCGGAGTACAAAGATAATTTTTTAGTAAACTTTAGTATACGATACATTAGTAAGAAACTATTTTATAGCTTTTAATGTAGAAAATTTAGAGTTTGACGTCATTGAGGGGGTTTTTTAGCAGTCAATGTTTGTTTGAAAAGTAGTTATACAAATGTCCAATGGCATTAAAAGTTTATTGCTTATCGTTCAAACATCCAAGCCATTAAAGAAGATCTGTTAGCTTATGTACAGTTATGTAAATAAACAATTTATACAAAACAAGTACATTTTAATCTTACAAACCAGAATAAGGGGAAAACGACCCATTTTACCTCCTGATGCGACACTTTAGCTTGGCAGCTTTTGGAGTTTATCTCAAATACTTAAAGTTCCAACTGATAAGCTTCACTGAAGATGTCAAAAGTTAAAACGTTTTGGGAAACTAACGTTGACAACAATGGAGGTGTTTTTGTTAAGATTGGTTTGTCTGTGATAAAATGAAGTCGCTGGTACCTTTGCAGCTATAAAGTTAAATAATAATGTTGTAAGACAAATATGCTTGCTTGACATTGTTTGTCTTTGTATTCGTAAACCTCATTAAAATTATATTTTGTACGTATTACCAGCGCTGATATAATTTGAGTTTTAACACATACAATTTAAAACATTTTTCTTTGGCGTTTTCTTTTACATTTATTTAAAAGGTTTGGCTTTAACTAATGTATAAAATTATAAAATATTATTATTTTTATAGTAGAGACTTAAAACTGTATTTTTCCTTTGAATAAATTATTATTTTATATGATTTCGTAGCAGTTGAACTAAATTTTAAATCCATTTTCGTAAGCGTATTGAATCTTTAACTATTAAAGCTATTTTGTGTGAAAAATTTAGCTGGCTTACATATAGGCTACTTATAAAAATATAGAACGTTTTTTTAGGATGTACTATGAAAGTAGGATAGTTGACACCTGAAGGATTATCCTAACGGACAG